CTCTCTTTTGTTCCCTCCTCAGACAGGACAGGGGGCTGCCAGGCAGACTGGTGGGACGGGAACCCCAACCCAGTCAGGGCCTGACTTGGGGCCAGGTTTGCCAGGTCCAGACTTGCAGAGCAGGGCTGTTGAGGATAAGCAGTTTCTGCAGGTGAGCTGAGGGCTACGGAGGGTTCCAGGTGATGGGGCATAGGGCCCAACTAGGCACCTGCTCTTGGAGGGAACTTGTCTGCCACACAGACTTTGAGCCCAGCTGGCGAAACCCCTCTGATCCCAGGCCCCTGCCAGGGCCAGCTCTCCCAGTCCCAGGGGTCTGGAGGTGGTAGCTGGGCTGCCAGTATGCCTCAAGCCTCATGGTACACACGGGGCCTCCACAGAGTGGAATTCCCAGGCACCTGGAGAATCCCACACTACCTTTCAGTGCCACGCAGGGCTCCACAGAAGGGCACGCTGTTGGGATCCTCATTGTCATATTCCCACCCCAGCGTACTTCCATACATATTGCAGCACAATGTTGGATTCCAGGTTGATTGTGGATTTTAGGGGACTGGGGGCGGGGGGGTGCCGTGGTGGTGAGCAAAATCCCCCGCACATAGCTGGGACAGAAAGAGAGGAAAATGGGGGAGGAGGGGTGGGGGAAAGGTTTCCTTTAGGGAGGCCTGGGGTGATGGGGAGCTTGGCAAGCCATAAGGTGGGTGGGTTTTACTGATTTAACAAAATTATTCCAAAGGTGCCACCGTCTAGACAGGAGCTAAGAAGTAGAAATGATTCAGGGCCTCCCTCCACGGCCTGCTCCTGGAACCTCCCACCCTCCCCGCCCCTGGGCTGTGGCTGACACCTTCAAAGGGCTTAAAAGGAAGGCGTCCCCAGACTGGCTGGGGACCCGCCCCCAATAGACTTTCCAGGGCTGCTGGGGCTGGGAGTGGAGGAAGCGGTGCATTTCGGGATGTGGTTGTATGTTTGTGTGCATTCATTATCCTGTGAGTTATGTGCATATGAGTAGTTACATGTATATACTCCTATATTTGTGCACAACATATGTGTGTACACGTTTAAATACATAATATGTGAGTGTAGACTGCGCCTATGTGGATTGTGTGGGGGCATGCTGGGGGAGATGTTTCTAGATTGGACCAAGGTAGTGGGTAGGCGAGGGATGGGTTAACTTGGGAACTTGGGAAAACCGGGTGCTCACAGGCATGGAAACTCTGAGACCACCGGTCCCAGGCGTCTGTGCAGAAAGATCTGGGAAGTGAGGGTCCGAGGTTCCCTAAAGTCCCATCTCTGGGCTCAGTTTAGAGCAGCAATGCCAAACCAACCTGCTCCCGTACCACACACATACACACATTCTGAAAGAGAGCTCGTAGCCTCCTTGGCCACTCACAGCGCGAGAGGGAAGGGGGCAGACGCCCCGATGAGGCCACTCGGTAGGCGCCCCCAGACCCTCGAATTGCCCGAACGCCGGCTGCGATGGAAGAGGCTCGCGGGGCAGACTCGTGACCGTGCCCCTCCACGCTCCTCCCCGGAACCCCACTCTCCCCTGCGTCCGGATGAGACGGGAGTCGGGGGCTCTGGAGCTCTGGTTCCACGTGGGGGGCGCCCGGCCCACTCCCCAGCCCGCCCCCACGGCTGGCGCTCCCCCGGGCAGTGGCGAGGTGGTGGGCGGCTTAGAGCTAATTCGAGAGTTAATGGCGGCGGCCCGGCCCCCCGCGGCCCCCTCCGCGCCCCCCCCACGCCCCACCCCCACCCCCACCCCCGGGCAGGGCCGCGGGCCGCCCGCAGCTGCGCGGTCCGCGGCGATTCATCATCTTGATCCATGGCGCGCGCTGACGGCGGCCCCGGCCGCGCTGACAAGACTAACAAAGCAATTTGCCACGAGCCATCTCCTGGACAGGTTATTAGCGCGGCCGCCGCTTAAAGAGCCCTCCCCCCAGCTCCAACCCCTGCGCGGGGCGGCTACCTGCTCTGTCCCCTCCCTCCGATGGCCTACTGCCCCCCGCCGCTCAAAGATACCCCGGCATATTCCTGGCCCTCTCCGGCCACCCCAGAGTAACCCCCCCCCCACACACACACACTCACCCTGCGAGTTGCTCTGCGTTCCTGCCTCCCCTAGCTGGGTCCATACCTGTCCGCTGCCTTCCTACAACCGGCTCCCGTGCCCAGCCGCTCCCCCAATCCCCCCCGCCCATGCTCCTGGCCCCTTCCCACCGCATCTCAGCCTTATTCCCAATACCACCTGAGTTACCCCTCACCTTCTTACTCCCAGAGGGTCCCCCCTCTTCTCTCCACCCTCCTCACCTCCTCTACCTACCCCCTTGCCATCAGGGATTGGAAACCCTATTAATTACCAGCTTTGGGGGAGAGGGATCTTTTACTGTGCTTTTGAATTTCCTCCCGACCACTTCTGCCCCCAGGTAACCTTACTGTGGGGGTTGGGGTGGCGCAAGGCAGCTGGCTAGCTGTGGAGGTGGGAGGACACTGCCTTCTCCAAGGGTACCTTGATGAGGGAGCTTGATGGTGAGTCATGTAGACTTTCTCTGAGGGGAGGCTATGAATGCCAGGGGGAGAAGTTGCTCCCTATCCAAACAGAGGCTCAGAGAAATTCAGGGCTACACAGCAGGTCAGTGCAGAAGAGGGATGGCAACCAGGTGTGTGGCCTCCCACGCCTCGGCTTCATCCCCAGGCTACATCCCCTCTGGAAGGAAAGGAGGCCAAGAGATCAGGGTGCCCTCCTTAAGCAACTCCTCTCTCACCTGCAGTGAGGGGTGGGGAGAACTATAAAGGAAAGTAGGTGGGTTTGGCCAGATTTATCTATATATGGTAGATAATGAGAGAGAAGAGCATGCCGCCCATTCAGATCCCCCCAAAGCAAAGGGACTATTTGGTCGTTTCCCACAGAAGTCTTCCTTAAAAAAATTCTCTGGGTAGGTTGGATGTGGTCCTTGAGAAGTATAGCAGATCTGCGTGAAGGGACTGAATGTGTACTAGGTGAGCTCCTGGGTGTGTGGGTCTGGATGCATAGATAAAGCCAAGGGGTGTGTACTTGAACAGGTGGGGGTGGTCAAGTGTGTCCCTCTGGATATATGTATGCATTGGGGGCTAAGTGTGTCTTTTTCAGTGTACACGGAGGCCTGGGAGGGGCCAGCATGGGGCCTAGGTGTGAACAGGTCTGTGCACACCGAAGGTAACTGGCTTCAAAACCAGGAAGGAGCCCCCACCCCATTGTTTGCTCTTCTCCTAGATCGTCTACATTCCCAAACCATCAGCTTCTATAGTTGTGATGCAGAGACAGAGAGACGTGGCCCTGCTCTAAGAGCCTGGGGGACCTCCTTCTGAGGGATTTGCATATAAGAGGGGGCACTCTGTCTGAAGGACAGCAGGTCTTGAACCTCTACCATGACCCAGCTTGGTGCTGAGTGCCCAGGTGGGGGCAGGGGAATGGACCATGTGCCGGGAACCTGACTTTTTTCTTTTCCTGTAGCCAACCAGGCCATGTCTTCACCCGCAGGGAGACCCAGCTCTGTCGCTGCCTGCGCCACCACTGTGTCCCTGACGTGAAATATGGGGGGCGCGGGCCGCGCTGGGGAGATTTGTCATCTGTGCTCAGCGGGTGACTCTATCTGCAGACTATTAGAGTATAAAATATATTTTACAAGAGTTTTAGCTACAGGTGACTTGCTCTTTATTACTAGATGTGGGCAAAATCAATACTTTTGTAACTAAAAGATCATTTATTTTGCTTTTTGAAACATTTTTCAACAGGGGCACTGGCTAAGCTCGCAAAGCTATGATTAAGAGTTATGGCGGCTCCTGTTTCCCTTAACCCTTTAAGGACCGCAGTCCAGGAGCTTCTAGTGCTGGTACCTGGCCATGGAAAGCCAGACACACGGACACACATCCCAGTTGCAGCAAACACAGACACACTGACTGAAGGGCACAGGCCCCCATAAAGCCATCGCTCAGATACTCGGGTTCTCATATATGTACACATACGCTCTCCCAGGTACACACAGAAATACAGCAGCATATACATTCCCTCCCGCTCAGAAACCCACAAATCAAATGCACATGTGCACAAATGCACAAATCCATGCTGCATAAAAGCCACCAGCACATATGTCTACATACAAATATTTCCCACCTCACTTCTTACACCCACATATACGCACCATGACCCTGAGATATGCACAATCACATTGTGCTAACTTGTGACTGGGTCAGTGGCCAGCCAAGAATGGGGACTCTGAAAGGGGGTTGGAAGATGCTGAAGGGGGGATGGTCTCATGAATGCAGCTATGGCCACTACTGGGCAAGGCATAGAGAGAGGCCAGGAGTCTCAGAGCCCAAAGATGGGATCTGTGGAATCTGGGCCCTACTCCAGTCAGCCCAGCTCTCCTCAGGCCCTCATCCCCATGACTGCCCTGTGCCTTTTCTGTCAATTAAAGCAGGGGGTGGGTTTTCTGGAAGCCACTGTATAGGAGAGCTATAAAGTCACATAATTCTGTCAAAACTGCTCACTGGTGACCACCTCTGGCCTGGGTGGGTTCAGAATGATTAAGTGGCCACATGCCATTTCCAGAACGGCATCACCTAACCATCCTGTGGCCATTGTCTGATTCAGCAAATCAGCGTTATCCGGTTGTTACTTATCTCAGGGTTGGGGAGAGACACGGAGTAGACAGTGACTTAACCCATCTATAGGGGAAGCTCTAGTGGGGAGACTCCAGGCCATGAGATTGGCCAAGTGTATCAGTTATCTGTTGTTACATAACAGATTACTCCTAAACTTAAGTGGCTTAAAACAAACATTTACAGGCACACCTCCGGGATATTTGGCAGGTTCTGTTCCAGATCACCACAATAAAACGAATATCTCAATAAAGCAAATCAAATGAATTTTTTGGTTTCCCGGTGCATAAAGAAGTTATGTTTATACCACACTGTAGTCTACTAAGTGAGCAATAGCATTATGTCTAAAAAACAATGTACATATCCCCATTAAAAATACTTTATTGTTAAAATATGCTAACCATCATCTGAGCTTTCAGCTGGTCATACTCACTGATCACAGATCACCCTAACAAATATAATAATAACAAAAAGATTTGGAATCTTGCAAAAATTACCAAAATGTGCCACAGACATAAGTGAGCAAATGCTGTTGGAAAAAAATGGCATCGACAGACTTGCTCGATACAGGGTTGCCATAAACCTTCAATTTGCAAAAAAAAAAAACACAAAAAACAAAAAACAAAAACATAGTATCTGCAAAGTGCAATAAAGCAAAGCTCAATAAAATGAGGTATGCCTATATTATATTACAGTTTCTGAGGGGCAGAAATCCAGGAGCAGCTTAGCTGGGTGGTTCTGGCCTGGGGGGTCTCTTAGGGATTGCAGTTATATTGGTTAGGGCTATATCCTCTGAAGTCTTGACGGGGGCGGGGGGCCTCTTCCAAGAGGGCTTGTTCATGTGGCTGGCAGTTGGTGCGGGCTGTCAGCGGGGGTGCCTCAGTTCTCCTCCATGCAGCCTCTTCAGCATAGTAGCCTGGATTTCTTTATATGGTGGCTGGGATGAGAGAGAAAGAGAGGAGAAAAGTCAAAAATAGAGGCTGTAATCTCTTAAACCTAATCTCAAAAGTGACATCCCATCACTTCTGCTATATTCTAGTCCCGGTAAGTAAGTCACTAAGTCCAACCCACACTCAAGGAGAGGACAATTAAACTCCACCACTCAAAGGAAGAAGTATCAAAGAATTTGTGGGCATAGTTTTTAAACTACAACAACTAGGCAAGAGGACACTTGCACTCTACCCAGTGTCTGCAAAATGGCAAGCATCTCTTGATGGCTCCAGACCCCAGGAAAACCATGAAGCATCCTGAAGTGGGGAAGGCGTGGCCAGGTGATGGTGGAGACACAGAGCTAACCCTTGCTCAGGACCACGGTATAACAGTATAATTGCACAGTAATTCCATGCATGGACCATGGAGCCAGACTGCCTGGGTTCAAGTCCAGGCTCTGCTGCCACCGACTAGCTGTGTGACTTTGGGCAAGTCATTCAACCTCTGTGCCTCAGTTTTCTTATTTGTAAAATGGGGGAAGTAATAGTACTTAACTTCTAGGGTTGTTCTAAGGGTTAAATGAGTTAACATTTAGTACAGTACCTGGTATGTTATAAATGCCACATGAGGGGCGCCCGGGTGGCTCAGTCGGTTAAGCATCTGCCTTCGGCTCAGGTCATGAGCCCAGGGTCCTGGGATCAAGCCCCACATCAAGCCCCACATCGAATCCCACATCAGGCTCCCTGCTCAGTGGGGAGGCTGCTTCTCCTTCTCCTTCTCCTTCTCCTGTTCCTCCTGCTTATGTACTCTCGCTCTCTCCTCTCTCTGTCAAATAAATAAATAAAATCTAAAAAAATAATAATAATAAATGCCACATGAGTTTCAGCTAATACACTCAGTTCCTACCTCTCATTGGCAGATCCCTCCCTGTGGACACTTTCTCACAAGGAATTTATTGAGCACCTTTGATGTTCCTCAGACTAAGCCCATCTAGCCACCACCACCACCCCAGTGACGCTGGGCCCTTCCCTGACCCCATCCCCTCAGGCCAGCCCTGTGGAAGGCTAAGCAGACAGTCTGGGCTCCATGAGCTCCATTTGACCATGCCAGCCGAGCACTGCCATTTGCGGCCTCTCTGGGAATGTTGTGCAGTATGTTGGCCACAAACATTTTATGAGCGAGAAGACAGGAAGAAATTTTCCTCTATCGACCGACTGCAGTCAGGCCTGCTCCCTCCACCTCCTCTTCATAGGTCTCCTTGGTGATGAGGGGGACAAGGTGAAGACTGCCCCCACAGCAGAGCCCTGAGGAGCAGCCCAGTCCCAGTGCCCCTTCCCTCAACCTCCTCAGGCCCCCACCCGCCCCTGACACAGAGGGGTAGGCAGACCTGGATCCCAGAGACACCTCAGCCCCTTGGGGCAGGCATCCTCTCCCAGCTCACCTGCTCTAGGAGTCCCAAGACACTTCACCCAAACAACAAGAAAAGAGAAAAGTAAAGTTTTGAGAGGCAACTGTGCATAAAGCTACACCTATTCATTATGAAGCACTATCCTCTCCATTCTGAGATGATGTCTTTTCAACTTTTTTGATGTCCAAATATCCTTTCTTTTATGAAATGAAGCTGAGAGCCATTGGTAGCTTTCCCTCAGTGCCCTTATAGGGCAAAATTAATAGCCGGCAACTTTATGCTGGACCCCACATTTTAAAAATATCACTCTGGGCGCCTGGGTGGCTCAGTCGTTGAGCGTCTGCCTTCAGCTCAGGTCATGATCCCAGGGTCCTGGGATCGAGTCCCACATCGGGCTCCCTGCTCAGCGGGAAGCCTGCTTCTCCCTCTCCCACTCCCCCTGCTTGTGTTCCCTCTCTCACTGTCTCTCTCTCTCTCTGTTGAAAAATAAATAAAAAATCTTTTAAAAAAATAATTAAAAAAAAATTAAAATATCACTCTGTTCTGTGCAAGAGGCACAAAACTGTCCCCCCCCCGAACACCTGCTGACCCCTAACCTGGGCTCAGACACCAGGTGAAAGGGGGAGCTCACCTCATTTCTGCCTCAGCTCTACCAGCAACTTGGAGTGACCCAGGACAAGCCCCTTCCTCTCCTCAGCCCTGCTTGGTCTCCCCATCTGCTATATGGGCGGTCGGACAGATGTTCTTTCTCAGGCGATGATTCTCAACTAACTCTGACCTTTCACCTGGGTACCCCCACCTCTCCCTGCACTCCACCCCCTTCACCCCTAACCTGAGATGACCACAGGTGGATGCCGACATGCCCATAGAGCAGGTTAGGCCTGGGGGGGGTCACCTCTAACTGGCCTGAATGCCCCTTTGCCAGGCTCCCCTGGAGACAGTCTCTGAGCTGGGGGCAGAGATGGGAGGGGGGTCTTCGGCCTTTGGCTACAGGGACCCTCCGTGATGCACCAGGGAGGGAGAGAAGGATTTGTCTCAGGGGCTCCGTGGAGGCTGAGTTCTTGGGACCCCCTCCCCTCCCTGCCCCCAAGGCTTGGCTGGAGCACAAGGGGCCCCTTTGTGGGGCCTAATCTCAAAGCACTGCGGCTTTAGCGACCTTCAGGGATGAAAGCGCCAGGAGCTGGCGGCCGGGAGGTGGTGTGGGGGCAGCCCCACTAATCCCTGCGCTTTCGCCAAACAAAGCTGCCAGGAGGGGCTGGCTCCCAGGAGATGATCCAGGGAACCAATTCCTGGAGCCTAACCCGCTCTGACAGCCCGAAAAGGAGAGGCCCGCCACCGCCCCAGTGGCCCCAGCTTGGCCACGGGGGATGAGGAAGGCCTGGCCTGGGACCTTCTGCACCTCCTCCTGTCCCCCCATGGACTCCTCTCCCTCTCTGTGGGGAGGTGTTCCTCCCTCTCTGTGGGGAGGTGTGGGGAGGTGTACCCTAGTCCCTCAACACCTGGCTCTTTGCCTTTAGCCTCCAAGTCCCCCAATATCCCATTTCTCAGTATCCCAGACCCAGATCCTTTAGCTTCCAATCCCCTGTCCCCTAATTCCTCACCCCCAGTCTCGACTCTCAGACTCCCACTCTCCACCTCTCCTCCCCCAGCCCCTAACTCTCCTCCCCCAGCCCCTAACTCCCCTGCCATAAACTCCCTGCTCACTAAACAATAATGCCCTCCCGCCTGCCCCCAACCCCTGGTAAGCTCCACCTCCTGCCTCTGGAGACTTGACAACCCCTGCTCTCCCAGCCCTGCCCCCTCACCCCCCACACCTGACCTGACGCCCCTGCTGTTCCACGGGTATGTCTGGCTGTCTCTGTCCCCTTCCATTCCATTGACCGGTGCTCAGCTTGGCCATGGAGAAGATTGAGGAGGGAAATGATTCTGACTCAACCTTGCTGAAACCCCACGCCTCCCACCAGACACTCCCTCCAGCCATGATCCCGCTGGAATCCTGATGCTTCAGCCCAGGCTCCCAGGTGAGCACAGCATCGTGGCCAGAGGAAAGGGCAGGAGCCCTGCTGGCTGAGGAAAGCCGCCCAGAGGCCTAGCTTCCCAGGGCAGGGGGTGTCGGCAGGGCTGGGCTCTCTGCTGCTCCGTCCCTCCCCTCGGCTGAGGAGACCCAGGACGCAGAAATCTCCACCAGATCCAGGGAAGGCCGGGTGCCAGGGGTCACCCGGGCCCAGCAGAGGCCACTGAAGAGCCAGGATGACTTTGGGGCCTGCAGGGAGGGACTGGGCAGGGCAAGAGGGTTGAATTCCCAGGAGAGGGGTGGGGGCCTGGCCAGCCCAAAGCATTTTCCCACCATAGCCTCTGCCGCCTCCACTCCACTAATCTGATTACGCTATTTACCAACCTCCCATGGGCTGCTTAGGGCGGAGGGGGTGTTACACCAAGGATCTCAGTTCCAGTTCCCAGCGTAATGGGAGGCCCAGAAAGGTGTTTATGGGTCCTGAAATGATTGTGCCAGGCCATCCCTCCTGCCCGCCAGGGCGCAGGGCTGTCTAAAAGACCCCTCCGCCATCAAGTTTAGTCAGGAAGTCTCCTCTGTCACCCTCTGTCTCCAGATGCCTGGGTCCTCTCCAAGCCGTTTCTGGGCCCTTTATGCTGTCCCACCCAGAGCCATAACTATTAAGATAGTATTCAACTCACGAGGCAGTGCCTTCCTTCCTAAGTTTATGTGAGCTTTTCGGTGCCCAGGACAAAGAGGATGGTGGTGCAGACCCCAAGAGCCTGCTCCACGTAGTTGGAGTCAACGTCCCTCACACTTGCTTTGACCCCACACCCAGGTTCAGGCCCTTCTTGAAGGAGGGGGGTGCCACAGCCCCTGGCTGAGGTTTCACTGAGAAAAGAACCTAAGGAACCTCGAGTCTCCCTGTCTCTCTCTCCTTCTATCTCTCACACACGCACACGTTCTTTATTAAACTGTCACAGACACCGCCACACTGTCACACAGGGAAGGTCCACCGTCCCGGCCCCTCCCTGGCTTCTGCACCACTGAGCACCAGACAGGTCTGTTGGGGACACTGGCGGCCTGGTGGCCTGGCATGGGCTTGCTTCCTCGCCCAGCTGACAGGTGAAAGAGAGAGAGAGAGAGAATTGGCATGGAGGGAGGACGCTGCCTGGAGATGAGAGGGAAGTGCTCTTAAGGGGGCTAGAGGGGAGGCGCTGCCAACCTCCCTGAGGGTGGAGGACAGTGGAGGTGGCCCTGCCCAGAGGAAGGACAGCACCTCTTCCTCCTCCCTCTCCCCAGAGGTTTAAGGCCCCAAGTTCATTCATCCCTTGCAGGATTTCAAATAGAGAAGTTATTCTGAGCAACAGGCAAGAGTTTCTTTAAAAAGCTAACAATACAAGGCCAACTTCAGACTAGGACAAAGCTGGCCCCCTCCTGAGGGTTCCCACCCACGGTGTACTCAACACTTACCCCTTGGGATTATTCTAGCTCTGAGTGATCTCAGCGATGGGTTCCCAGAATAGAGAAAGGATTTGGGCGCCCCCTGCTGTCTGACCTTCAGAACTGCGCCCTCTTCCCCAGGGCGCCCCAGCCAGGATCCTTCTGTAACCCCCACCCTGCCCCCCCACCCCCTGCAACCGCACAAGACCTCTTCCTCTCACCTCCCACCTCCAGATGCCCTTGGTTGGGTCAAAAAAACCTATCCTGCTTGGGCTCCCAATTTCCCACTGGCAGCCAGCTGGAAAAAGGGGTAACCTGCCTAAGGTTGGAGCACTTGTTAGGGGGATGGAGTTCCAAAGGCTGAATCTTGGCTTTTTGCTCCCTAAGGGACTGAGGGAGACTCACAGGAAAATGGCTAAGAGAGGAGAAGTAAGACTGACCCAGAGACTGGGGAGGAGGGGCCAGGGGAGAGGAATCTGATGAGAGAGGAGAGAGGGGGCAGATCAGAGGGGCACAGGTGAGAAGACATAGTAAACAGGACAGGTGAGGCGGCACAGGTGATGGGGAAAAGAGAGCGATGTGCAGGTGGGGACACAGGTGAGCTGGGGAAGAGCAAACGGGGCAGGAATGATGCAGAGTGAAAGGAGGCCACCAAGGGCTCGTGAGCAGGAGTCAGTGCCCCCTGCTGCCTGCCATCTGCTGGGCCACATCCAACCCTGTGTGTCCAGGCAGCCCTGTGACTGATGGCCAGGCCCCTGCTGGGGCACTGAGGGCAGGCACTCAGCAGAGGCAAACAGCTTGGATGTCCGTGGCCTCTGGACTGTGGGGCATGGCAGAGGTGGTGGGCAGAACAGATTGAGCTCAGTGCTGTGGTCAGAAGCCCAGGCCTGGGGCGGGGGGATGGGGGGGTGGGGGGAAGGGTCTGTGACTGTGAGCCAGGCCTCCTCAGGCTCCTCTCCTTCCCCCTCCTCAGCATCTGCT